TTTTCGAAAATTACTCCAGAGAGTACAGAAATTTATCTGTAGTTTCGTTCTGAGAGAGTAAGAATTTGTCATTCCTTGCTTTTGTCTGTGCCTGGCCCAAGTATCACCTGGCCCTTGGTGGTTTCAGATGTTTTTCTCTTCCCTTACAGTGTCTGAATGGGCACAGACTTCTTTCCAGTTAACATACAACAATCTCCTGTGCTGACTACTGAACTCTGATCTTTGGCTGGATGCACGTTTGTTTCTTTAAGCACATGTGGTGCGGAGTAGACCTGGACTTGGGTAATTCATAAGGGCTGGGTATTATTGTTATTATTACGACTACTTGAAAGGGTCTGTATTATTTTGCACAGCAGTGCGGTCACCTGGCAGCAGGTCATTAGCATTTTAGGTTTCTTTCCTTCACAACAATGCGCAACATGCTAATTAGAGGGTTTTGAAAGCTAAGCAACCTGTTTTAAAATCAGACATTTTAATTTGCAGCTTTAATGGCTGTATTATAATAACTGGCTTTGCTCAGGGGAGAGGGGGAGAGAGGCACTTCTCATGTTCTGGTAGCGAGGCCCAATATAACAGAGGCTGACAAAATTAAAAACCTCATAATGTGACCTTTGCCTGGGATAAAAGGCTGTTTCATAACAATTTCCTTTTGTTCTTTGTTTAAGCCATTACTCCAAAAGGAGCCTCCGATTAATCTAAGTAAATGCATCATTACAGTCCTAATCCATGTCCTTCTGTCAGTGTCTGTTTTAATTAAATAAGAAACACTAGCAGAAAGATATCACGCACAAAGCTATGATTGGAGAAAGAGGGTTGTTTGACCAGGGTGAGATTAAAAAAGGCTTTACTGTTTTGTCCTTTTGCTCTAGATGCCGTAATGTAGGTTAAAGGAGGAAAACTTGCCTGATAGTTTAGCACGTTGCTCCCTATTACAGTATTAAAATAACCAGCTTTCCTAGCAAAATCATTCCAATCATCCAATTAATTATGCACAGAAGAATCGCAGACAACTGATACAACAACTTAGTTTGAGCAATTTGACACATTAATATGCTTGGGACCATACATACAACTGGGCAGAAAGTGCATTCAAATGCAGGTTTTTTAATACTAAATAAGGTAAAACTAGTTATTAATTCATGTACTGCTTTTTTCTTTATTTTTTCTTTTAGGGAGTTGTGGCTCACAAGTTGTAAGCATGATCCACTTCAGGCCTCTTATTTTTTTAAATATTTTTATTTCTTACCAAATTCGGATCATAATTATTTTAAAGCAATGAAGAATCTGTTTAGTAAATGTTGTAACATCTAGCTAGTTAATATAGCTAAAGCGATGCATATGTAAAAGACTCTTCCTCAAGGTAGTGTTTCAGGATCCCTGTGGTGAGGGTTTTCTCCCATATCCAGGCCATTATTTGATGTAATGAAAAGAGAAAGTGTGCAACACCGAGATTGTTAATTAATTTAGCCTAACAAGATGAAGATAAATGAAGCAAAGCATGGACTGAATGAAGCAAGAAGTCTTATTTACAATTTAATACTTCTTTATATTAGGCATTTTTCAATTCACAAAAGAAAAGACTCTGAGTTTAAAGAGAATGTGTTCTGTGAGTACATGCAAGACAACTTTACATTATGCGAGCAGTTCTAAGGACTGCTGAAAATGCCTTGTCAGTTAACCTTTAACTTTAAGTTTTTGCCCCTTTTGTTCCTTTTAACTTTTTTTTCTCATTTTGATTTACAGTATGTTGATAAGAAGAAAAAATAAAACCTAAACTTTTTTCCCCATTGAAGTAAACAGCAGTTTACCAATGGGTGCTCCTTCAAGCCCAGATTCTGGTGTTTCTTATCATTTATATTAGCCTAGAGTTATAGCCTATTTTTGTGCACTTCATATGTGGCAATCTGCATAGAGAGGTAACCATAAAAATGCGGTAAGACATTATTCTAATTTCTGTTCCAAAGTGTAAATGTGGTATTGCTTATATGTTCTCAACTATTCTGTGGCAGTAAAAACTGGGATAGGCACCCAGGATGGCATCATTTAACAATAATTAGATGCAATAAAACTGTTTTTTGATTTGGGGATTTTTTTTTCTCAAGAACACGTCAACATTTGGTGGCAATTTCAAATGATGTGTTACACTTTCTTATTAGTAAGAAAACAAAATTAAAAGACATTCCAGAGATAGTAAATACTTTTTCTTCCCAGTTCCAATTTTAAATGAACAGAATATCCTGTTTTAACAGTAAGTTATGAATTACATCAGTTGACTTGCTACATCTCTCTCTATGTTGTTCAGTTTCTGCACTACAAGGTTTAGGATATAGTTCTATAGAAAAGGTGAAGAGAAAAAAAAGATCAATCCTTTTCAGTATCCATAAAAAACTAACATAAACAAAAAGTCCGGTGTTGTGACTGACGTATGTGTACCTCTATCAGATTGATCTAAACCCAAAATTCAAAGTTATGACCAACTATATAAAGTTAATATTTTTTTAATAAAACATCTTGCTTTTAACAGATGAATTGGATCTGTCCACAATTTGACCTTCTGTCATTATTTCTGTCTGCGAAGGAAATGCCTTCCTTCCTTTTACAGTAGCTAGACAGGACAGCGTTATCTAGTGCCACTCCAAGCAGTGGCCTCTACAAATAGCATTATTATGGTCCTTATGTTTTTATCTCGGGGGTCATGAACAAATCCATGCAACTGCTTCTAAAGATTTCAATAAATAGGACTTTTTATCCAGACAATTGCCTTTTATATTACTTTTAAACAAAACTACTAGTCCATCAAGAGTTTCAAAAGGAAAACAATTCTACAGAGTGCTGGTATGGCAGCACAGACCAATCATTATGGCACCCATTCTCCAGTCCTTTATTTTTCAAGTCCACAACAATAGGTTGTTGATTCAATGGACAAGACCAGAACAATTAAGTTCTCTGTTTAGCAGCAGTGCAGCATTTTAATGCCCTCCTCTAATAATGGTCTCATTATTGTTATTCTAAGACTGGGCCTCAGGAGGAGGAATATTTGCTGGAGGTACGTCATTATTTTGCAAATTTCGATTAGCTCATCATGTTGTCTGTACTGTGAAAATCGTAGCTAATTAGGGCAGTCAGTTAGACTACCAGCTTTTGAGCTTATGAGTTAAAAGGTAGCACACTTGATAGGCCAGTGATGTGAAAAAGGTGGTAAAAAGGGGGATTAGAGCTGTTGCCTTAGTAACTCTAACTTCCATCTGTGCGGGAACAATGGACCTGTGTTTCTCCTCCACCTTGGTGTAAAAATTGGTTTTGTTTTGAAAGGACAGGGCTTTTATAAGACAATCTGGAATTCAGCCTAACTGAGTGTAGTTTTAGTTGTTAGGAGAGACCATTGGAGGATAGGAGAGATGAAAGGTCATGGCGAGCTTCAAGGACATGAAAGGTCATTGTCTTGTGAACAATAGTGGATTGTTTTGTCCTATTATTTCTAGCCAGCCACTAAGTCAGGTGATAGAAGAGATACCACCGGTTTAGTCAGGTGAAACAGGAGAGAGAGATAGTGCACCTTCTATAGGACACAAGATAACTATAATTTGCCGTTATTAAACAAAGTTGTGTTTATTTGTGACCATCCTCTGAAAAAAGCTGTTTACTGACTTACTATTCCAGCCTGCTTTGTTCAGCACTGCCTCAGTAGGCCATCACATCTCTGGGAAGCAATCCAATGTGTTAGAAAATGTTATTTAAGCTTTCTTCCCATGAAGAGGAGCCCCCAGGAGTACCACTGATGCGATACTTAACAATAAATTTAGTTGTTGCAGCTTTCTCACGTTATTGGTGTTCTTAAAAGGTTTTCCTTCAAACACCCACTGAATAAAATTAGCTCTAAATATGAAATAAATTTTCTTCAACACTTTATAGCATTTTATCATAAATTCTACAGCACATATCATAGAAAGTTTACAGCACACTGTTATTAGGTACCACAGTAGACAGAGACCTACAGTCATATAAAAACAGATTTGCTATAGGACTGCTCTTATGCAAAGGGAAATAGATAAAAGTCTCTTCTGTGCCATGCCATAACTTTAGGAGACTCTGCGCCTTTGTCTAAGGGAAACTCCAAAGTACTTCAGTATTATTTAATAAAGTAGCTACAGCACGCTTTTACCAGGGAAAGCATTTCTGTTAGTGAAAAGAACTGTAATCGCTTATGTTTTTCCTACAGTATCCAAAAACCTAAGTCGATATTTTTCAGAAAGGAAAAAAAAAAAAAGAAAAGAAATGCAAAGCCTTTCTTTATGACTTTTCTGTTTTCACAACATGATGCCTCAGTCATCCAGGCAACAGGTTTCTTTTTCTTTTCGTCTTCCCTCCATCCACAATCAAAACACACCCTAAGGTCCATCTTATAGCTCCAACATTTCTCCATGCTGGGTTTTCTAGCATTTTTCACCTTCTTATACTAGACCTCTAAAGCCTTTTTGTAATCTTTTTATTTATTTCACAACAGAGCTACCAAAATTTGTTGAATTCTTATAAAATTGACAGAATGTAAGTAATTTGCTACTGATACCTCTGAAAAATATAATTGCATGTAATTATGAGGTGTCCCATCGTAAACTGTTCTGACCTTACTTGAACTCCCTTTTTTAGCTATTCTGGGCCTCTCTTATCTCATTTTTGCTCCTGGCCACGCTTGCTCTTGCTTTCTGACAACACAGATGGACGGCCTTGCACACACTGATAACTGTGGTAATTTCTCAGCCAACTATTCAATAATAAAAGATGTTATTTTGAGAGTTCAGCAAGCATGTGTCATACTTACATGTACGCTGGAGCTGCGAGGTCAAGCAGTAGCTTCATGGGAGCATGTTGTCGTTCGAGCCGTTGGACTTGCCAGCTTTCCGTTTGTTGATGCTTTGGTTTAGCAAATACAGTCTTTAGGAGAAACCAAATCTTCTTTTAAGTATTATAGGCATTTAGGTTTTTTTAAATAATCTATTCTTCCACTCACTTTTTAGGTCTTTACTTAATTGTCATGTCTGTATTTGTTATTTTCCTATTAACATGAACTGGACAGGGTAGGCTGCTAAGTTCAAAATGGGAACCATACAAAGGGTTAACCAGCAGAGAATTACAAATGAACTATCAGGAAAGTTGATTATTAATCCAGCAAGAGAGAAAATATCCTTCCAGTTAGCAAGAATTAGTACCTGAAGAGCTGATAATATTGTTCAGCCTGTCGGTGTGGAATGGCAAAGTCAGGTAAGCTAGACATCTTCTCAGAGAAATAAGATCTTTTCTTTCTATTTTGCATTGTAAGAGAATTTAATTTCAAAAGGAATCTTTACTGAATTACTTAAACTATCAGCATATGAAACAGTATATGTTGATCCTCAGTTTTCCCAAATGAATGAAAGAAATTAAAGTGCTTTTAACATTGGTAAGAGGAAGTATTTTTTAGCTGTGCAATGTGTTTAATTGTGAAACATTTAACAATTCTTTACTAGTTGGTGGTTAAGTCTGAGAACTGATTACAAAACCTGAAGAGCCCTTTGCAATTGCAAGCTAATACATAATTTTTTCTTTAGTTCTGCTTGAACATATTGTGGCAGTTTATGGAGACTTTCGTATTGCAGCGCTCTTTCATTCACAGAAATTTTAGACTGCAGTATTCACGCTGTATGAATGATTTATCTGAGTTTGTTTTAAAATATTTTGAATTCATTCATGTTCATTTAAAAAACACTTCTTTGTGGGATTTCAAGCTCTGTGATCGAGGGACAGGAGGAAATGGGTGTTTGGTCAAAACATACCACTGTGTTTATCCAGCGAAATGCAAACCAAACCATTAGATCAATTAGAAATAATCTTTGTATAATTTTTCTGTTTTTACTAAAGACTGATAGCTCTGTCTTGAGAAAACTGAGATTTGCCTTCTCTGTTTGCGCTGCTGACATTACTCAATGGGTATGACAAGCACAATTATTTTTTCAACGTAGTCTTCAATATTTAGTTAATTATGTGAGAGGTGTAAAATGTTTTAAATAATAATAGTCTAACACTGTAGAAATTGGAATGCCTGTGTACAGTATTTAATGATTTTTCCTAACTCCTGAAATTATGTGCTGTTAATTATATTAGAGTAGCATTAAAAGAAAAAAGATTTCTGATTTGCTAGTAGAATAGCATTAAATATGTGTATAATGTTACGACAGTACTTGTCCAGGTGGAAAAGAAGTGGCTGTCTCCAGACTTTAGCCTCTTGCTCGGACATAGCCTGAAAGCCAGAAGAAAAAGGCTGTGGTGATACAAGAATCAGAATACAGATGAAAACTCTCATCTCATTTTCAAAATCAGAAGGTTTCCTCCTCCTTTGTACGGCTCATGAAAGTTACCTTGTATAACTAAATTGCTAAGAGGCTCAGCCTTCAAATTTGGGTTACTTTGAGTTTTTTAGCTAAGGCCTAGGGCAAAGGCAAATTCGGAAAGCGGGGAAGGACAGGCAGTCCGGCAAGCGGCAGAGAGAAGCTGAGTTTGTGTGACAGGCCTCGCTGTTTTACGTGCGGCTTTGGCCTCCTCGAGCTACGAGACAGCTTCTGGCCAGTTTTCCTGACAGGTGGCTCCTCACTCTAGAGGAAATTAAAATCCCAGCTTTTGCTGGTGCTGGAGCTATCAGGGCAACAAAGGGTGGCATTTAGGAAGCTATGCTAAACATTCAGATATAGAAAGAGGCAAAAAAGTTGTTGTGACACGTTTTAGCCTAGTACATCTGAAGAGAATGGGGATGGCAGGAGGAAGCTGCTTTGCCTCAGTTTGAACACTAGGATCTCAGAGAGAGACAAAGAGCAACAAAACCAGTGATGGCAAATTTTCACACAGAAACGATATGTATAGAAAAAACAAGATTGTAATTAGAGGAGGAAAGTAGGAAACTGATTGGAAAGTCAGAAATTGGTAACAGAGACAAAGTATTCCAGATGTTTAAGGGGAAAAGGTCAGTTAAATTAGATAAGCTCTTTTAACCAGCGTTGAAGAGGTATGCTTGCTTCAGAACGGGAAAGTTAAACTTAAAATTAGGAAAGAGCTGGCAAGTGAGTTTAGCTGAGACGTCGTGCTGCCCGAGTGAATCTTTGGAATGCCCTGCCTGGGACAGCTGCCGGGGACGGCAGCAGGACCAGCCAGTGGCGGGTGTTCTGCTGCGCAGCGAAATGAAACTCGCTGTATACTTGCTCAGGAAGATTGAAGGGGGCAGTCCGTTTCTGTGTGTGCTAACCCACAAACGCAGTCTGGTTTGATAGCAAAGTATTGTCGCAGGATTTGTTGTATTCTGTGTGTATACATAACGGATAGCTACGCTTTAGTACTGTATTAGTTAAAATGCCAGACTTTAATCAATGATCAGTTTAACATCTGTTTAAGTTTTAGCTTATTGGCAGAATCTGAAAGGATCAAACACTGACTGCATCTTTTTAGAAATCAGAGCTAAAGAGATACAGTCTTGAAATAACCCCACAGCTGTAAGCCAGTGTAAGTTAACTGTAATTTTTGACTGTAATAAAAATAATATTCTTAAAAAAAAAGGAAAGAGAAGACATCAAGCAGAAACTGTCCTTTCGTGCCCATTCCAGCGACTCATTTCGAACTCAGTGATATCAGATAGTGCAACCCCTGAAAAAAGTCGCCCTGCAAGCAAATGGGGCATGGCTTTACAGTTGACATGATCTTTGCTTTTGTGCCAGTTATAGCTTCTGAGTTGTCTATTAAAAAGAAGAAAGTTTGACTTAGTTTGACATGTCTGGAATAGATTGATAAGAACGTCGTCTGATTTAGTGGAAGTAGTTTGCCTGAGCAGGGTTTGCATGTTAAGTAAAGTTGCTGCATTCTTAGTTGAGGCAGAACGTGTAGCTCCCTGCCTGCTTAAAGGCCCGAGGCTGAGAAGTGATGAAATTCCAGAGCAATTTGCAGAGATCTTTGCCTAGCTGCCCGTGCATCCTGAAGCGCAGCTGCAGTTAGGGCACCGTGCTGAAGCAGTTTACCTGTAGGAAGCAAGCAAGCCAGCCACTCTTGTCGCTGCATGGTTGGGGCAGGAGGATGAGATGGTGGGTAAGGCGGAGCATAAATATCTATAGGTTGCTTCATTCTGTACTTTTTTATAACAAGCTAGTGGTAACTGGCAAGGAACCTGTCTACAGAAACAGATGGCCAAAGGGAATGTCGGGCCAGGGTTTCCAGCTCTTTGGACCACACCTCGTCTGTGGTGCCAGTACTGGAGAGAGAATGTGTTTCAGTTCATTAGGAGCTCAGTGAGGCTATATGTATAACACTGAAGTGTTTTATAAGATTCAGTGTAAAGCTGCATAGTTCAAGGAAGCTCGTGTCCTATTAGCTATGGCTAAGGTCAGTTATCCACACAATGAGGGGGAAACTCTTTCATAAACAAGTAGATAAATACGGTGCAGCTGGTGCTTAGCCATGCTGCAGGCTGTTATATTACCAAAAGCTCTCAAGTCATGAACAACTCCAGGCTTTTACAGAGCCCGTACAGAGCATCAGCAGCTTAGGGTGGTCAGGGCTGACGTAAAATTACAAGGCTGTGTAACAAATGAAACAAGGATAAATCCAGGGCAGATTTGGGGCTTCACGTATAGGCGTCTTATCTGAACAAGGGCATTAAAGGGAGGATATAGAAGAGTTAGAGCTCTCCTTGTGGAAGAAAACGTCACTTGTTCCTTCTCTGATAATGTAGAGAGAAACCTTTTAAGATTGCTTTTTGCTATTGGGACCAGCATTTTTACTGTCTTACGGAAAATAATTATATTTTAAACAGCTGCAAAGAGAGAAGAGCTTGAAGAGTTAATTGAACCACATACTGTTAGAGAAAACCTTTTTTTTTATTCCCTTTTTTTTTCCTTATCAGAAATAGGAGCTACATGTGTTCTTTATTATATCCAAGATATTCCAGCTGTTAGTAAAAGACAAACTTGTGAAACAGTGCATTTCTTGAAGGCACATCATTTTATGTGCAGCTACTAAATCCTGGAGCATTGAAACCTGCGTCATTGTTCACCATCTGTATACAGTTCTGTGGTACCAGTGGGTTATAGTACATAACACCCGTAGAACTGTAACATGTTAAGTCTCTGACAGTCTTTACTGTACAGGCTTTGGTTGTATTTCTGTAGACGCTAGAGGAGAATCTGTTGGTATTCATCATAGTATTTCTTCCAAAGATAGTACAAATCAGGATTTATGCAGATAGTTAGTTATGCTGGAGCCTTTAAGGCAAACATTTTAACTGTAGTAAAAAACAAAGAAATTTCTGTAACTGTGTACTCACTGGAGTTTGTGAGCACCAAAGGGCAGTAGAACGACTGTTGTCTCAGTGTGATAAAGCAGGTCTGTTTTACTAACCAGGCTGGTGAGATGGTGATTTGCAGGTGTTCAGGGCAGGAGGCAAACAGAGCAGTGTTTAGAATAAAACGGGGAATTGTCAGTGTGCTGTTGGTTAAATAGGTCGAACCAACCGAACTCCGTTGCACTGGGAGAAGGCCAAAGCCGGGTACTTCAGTAGCAGCTATAATGCACAGATGCTGCTACTTCTCAATGACCTCAGGAAAGAGGAGGACCATACTTTGGCCTCTCTGCCTCTCAAAAGGGGTGAATAACCTAGGCAGGATAAGCCAGTTTATCTGATATCTAAGAGTTACTGTGCGTGTGCAAGCTTCATAGCACTTTACAGTGGGAGAATCGTGTATTTAAACCTCAGTGAGAATTACAGCAGGCAAATCATAACTGTTTGTGTTCACTCATTTTTTTCAAAACAGACTTTTCACCATGACCTTATTTGTTTAATTCCAACACAAAGATGGTTGTTCTACTTTCCTATTAACTTAGGTTTAAAAAAAACCCATATAAAAAGCATATATCACAATTTTTGCATGAAAAATGTGAGCTAAATCACGTATGTCTTTGTTCTTTCTTTACTGAGGCAAGCTTTTAGCATTTATTGAGGTATTATATATGGTGTATTAGTGCGTATGCCAAATCCTTCTTGTCTATGACTTCTGACGTTTTTCTTCGGAAAAAATACTTTTAGTGTATTGTTGATTTTTTTTTCTTCTTTCTGCTTTTCCCATCAGTGGCAGTCTGTTTAAGGCTCATCGTCACATTATAGTTGCACGGTTTTGAGGGAAAACAAAGTAGCTGCTAGTGACCCCAGGACAACTGTCTGCTAAACCTGATTACTAATCTACAGTGCTGTT